TTGATGCATAATGGATTAGAAGGCAACATCCTCTTCAAGGGTGCGACTGAGATGATGGTCATCCTCGTTAGGGTTAGCTTTAAAAGGGATACTATCCAAACCTTTGATGGGACTCTACTTTACAATATGGAGGACAATATAGCTTATGGTACAAGCAAAATTGTTCGAACATTTGATGACCTTCTATGTCATGGACTACCATCTTTTTACAACGCCACCCTTGGTCGAGAATGGCTACATCGCATGGGCAAGATACCCTTTTTCGACAATCTCTTGTCTCGCTATCCAGCCATAAGGGCAAATATTAGAAGATCGAATGATATGGAAACCGAATAACCAATGCTGGGAGAAATAGCCTATACTGACAAAAGGTAAACACTTCACAAACGTCTCCCAAGTGGCATAAGCGAAAAAAGCTACCAAATCTGAACTATAGGCGATTTGATTCCCTTCCTAGGATATGTAGGCAGTCCATTCCGGACTCAATCTCAATGCAGTCATCTGCATGAAGACAAGTCCATAGACAACTCATCTCTTCACGCCCCACCATAAACTTATCGTCAAAAGTAATCCCTAATGTAATTTTTACATTATATCATCATTTTCTTATAACTACATCAGTGATTTGATTCTCCTTTCCAGAGATATGGAGGCAATCTTTCCCTGATTGTCAATCAATCCTACTTTTGCCATGAATAAAGAAACTTTATCTGTCATGATTTCAATGTCCGTTCGTTCTTTTATTTTTGGTGATGCAAGGAATACCTTACTTGTTCCAAACAAAGAATAAAATTTGAAAACTTCGCACGAATGCAAGTCTAAAATTTAAAACAACATTGTTAAATGAGTCTCTTTTAGCCCATCCGTACTAAACGGTTAGGAGTTTAGGGGACTCAACCCCTAATAAGCATGGTAATGATTGGCGTCTACGAGCACAGGCACATGGCGCCCTAACCCAAAAGTTCAATGCACCATTTGGCTTCCAAAAAGTTTATTTAACTAGCAAAGTTGTGGTTATAATATTTAAACCTGTGCTCTATGCCATTCAAGGGAATAGTTGAAAGTGTGACCCAAAAATCATTTGAAGGTGGCTCTAAACTCCAACCCCAAGTATGACTACTTCCATACCGAACCAACATACTAAGACAAGTATGTTCTGCAACATTGTATGTTAACAAGTCTGAAGGGAGCATTGAGACTAGGTAACCCCAAGAGGAATTTTAATCCAATGGAGCTCCGATATGCGAAAATGTTATGACTAAGCCAGTTAAGGTAGTCCAATAAAAAACTCTTAGGTCCTACGCATAGGGTTTGACAAGAGGGTTCAAAAAGTGTTCCAACCCACATGCTGATAAGCTCATATATATATATATATATATATATATATATATATATATATATATATATATATATATTACATTAAATTCACTTGTCTTTTCTTAGTTAGTTCCTTATATTTTTGAGCTATTTACTTTGTTTTTGTGTTTTGTGGGATTTGTCAAGCAAAGAAAAGAAAAATAGCACAAGTGGGATTTTAAGTAACAAATTCGTCAAAACTGCTTGTGCAGATTAGTGAATTTGAAAGCAAGTTGCGAACAGCTCATAATGAATTAGAGAATGAGCCTTAATGCTTTGAAATTTACGGATATCTATTTTCTGGAGCATTTCACGGATTGTTAGTATCATTTTTCTAGAAGAAGTTATGGCCGTTTTAACACTGAAAGGTTCCTAAGAGGCTGAACATTTTGTAACTGAAAGCAATAAATCCAATAAATCTAGCAGCCAAAACTGATGCAGTAAAAAACAAGCCAGCTGACACCTATTCAAATATCAGAGGAAATGGAAATAAGGATGAGGATTAAGTGGGAGTAATTGGCATAAAGGCTACCCAAAGAGTTACAATTGTTTTACCATTTCCTCTCACTTATTGCCATCACTAAATGGCTGTTAGTGGGTGAGTTAAGGAGATGAAAATGGGACAGCAAGTTAAAAAGGGGAAAGGCGGTAGGTTGCAGCGGAAAAAAGAAGAGAATGGAAAAAAAAAATAGAAAAGAAAGAGGACAATGAAGCTTTGCGGAAAGGAAGGAAAAATGATAAGGCAGCAGCGTTGGGGAAGGAAGGAAAGGAAGGAGGAAATCTTGGCATTCTCTTCTCTCAGTTTTATCCTCTCAAACTCATGTCTTTCTTTTGGTTTTATTTGATAATAATGTGTAACTAAATTTTTAGTAGTTAAGGGCTGTTTTGAAGCCCCGAATATGATTGCAAGTTTTTTATGACATTTTGTTTGAATTACTTTTTTGAATGGATGGAAATTGATTCTACTTGTCTCATTGATGAATTCTTTATGTTTTTTCTACGGATGCATACTTAGTAAGCATATCTAGGATTCTAATGCTATGAATATGTGTGTGCATGCCCTTGTTGAATGAGGACCTACATATGTTCTAGAGTAGTACTTGTTAATAGCGATTAACATGTGAACCAATTTCTAGGATAAGTAAGACAACGCTAGTACTTACGATCCCTTGTGATGACTCAAACTCTTTTTATTCTTAATGATTTCTACTTGTTAAATATATGAACACGCCATTCTAGATTGCATGCTAGGAAATAAGTTAAGTTGAAAACGTCATTCTCTTAACATACTACATAAGAAAGAGTAATAGGTTAAGTTCTAATATTGAGCCAACTTGAGCATCTTCATCCGGAAATAAAAGGAATTTGAATGAAACATAACATGTTTGCATGATTATTTGGTTGTGGATAGCAATTCCCCTAACTCGTTTTTCTTAATTTGTGAACTACTTAAAAGTTGTTTCTATCCTGTTTTTGTTCGATTTAATTTAAATAGCAAATCAACTCCAAAAATCCCAAAAATTTGTAAAAGTGTAGCTCTGTGTGTCTAATGTCTGTATATAAAATTTCGTAGACTTCAGATTAGTGTAAGTTAGTCTAATAATTATTTTTCGGTAGCTGGTCAGTAGGGACAGCAACCAGTTTTGGTGACATTTTAAGTAGTTAGATAAAACAATCTTCTGCGGGAAAGACCCTTATTTTCATATGCTACAATTGACAAATCTTAGTATTAATAAGGAAAATCAATAGGACATTTGTGTGCTACTTTGTGGTGTGCTTTTAATCCTATCACATGCCAACGACCAAGGCTCCAAAGAAATTTCATTTAAGATTCACTGGAAACAGACACACAAGGAAATACTCATTTCCTTAGCACCACATTACAAATATTGAAGTCCTTAGCCCAAGAACTGAGGAAAGGCATAGAAGAATCAGCCTCTGTCTACAAGTTACTTTCAGGTACGATTCAAAACTCTTAATTCGATAAATGTGTTTCAAAAAGTGTGGAGCAAAAGTTTTCTCATGGGTTTAATGTTTAATTCCTGGTACAAGAGTAATGTGGTACTCCGGATATTGCGACGAAAATAGTTTATGAATGCTAAGTTTGGGAGGTAATGTTTTTCCGAATCAACGTTGCCAAGGGAGCTTTTAAGCTCTATCTTGGGCCCACAAGATGCTCCGTCACTTATTTCTCCTATAAAGTTCGTCTAATTTAGAGAAGTTTATCGATTAGGACTTTTCCATACATGAGGAAAAAACAAAAAAGAAATTGTATTACGATGAAAAACAAAGCTTGAATCATGGAAAAGACATGCCTCCATCCTTACCAAAATTTTTTAAGGCTAGTCTCTTTTTGCGACTTCTTTTCTCTTGCTAGTAGTTGAAGACTCTCCAAGTGGATCAGGCACTGGGCCTCCTGTTGATAAGGGTAGATATCAAAGATTTGTGGAGAGATTAATTTATTTATCTCATACTCGTCCTAATATTGCATATGTTGTGAGTGTTGTAAGTTAGTTTATGCACTCACTAAGTTAAGATCACATGATTAGGGTAATGCGAATTTGGGAATATCTGAAGTCTACACCCGATAAGGGTATAATTTATGGAAAACATGGGCATCTAAAGGTTGAAGGGTTTACAGATGCAGATTAAGCTGCCAATGTTACTGACAAACTATCTACATCTGGACATTTTACATTTGTTGGAGGTAATTTAGTTAAGTGGCGTAGTAAGAAGCAGAAAGTGGTGTCAAGGTCGTTTGTTGAAGCTGAGTATAGGGGTGTGGCACACAGAATATGTGAACTCCTTTGGTTATGTAAACTTTTGAGATGTCTTGTTTTTTAACCAAATGAGACAATGAAGTATATTGTGACAATAAGTCTACAAGAGATAACAGATAATTTGGTACAACATGATCGAACAAAGCATGTGGAGGCTGATCAACAATAGGTATGTATGATATCTAAGCACCAACTTGAGGGGGAGTGTTAATCTGAGTCTTAATTTGTAAATATTCTAGGAGTCTTATTTTAGTTAGGATTAGGATTTATAATTTGATTGTAATCCTTTAAGTATATTTTTTGTAGATTAAGACATATGTGCCTATATATTGTAAACCCTAGAGAGATGGATAAATAACAAAATATTTTTGATGTATTTTATGTGATCTACAAAATATGGTTCAAATAGATTAGTGTAATCTTATTGTTGTTGGATATCATTCTCTTCCCCTTGAAACATCTGTAAACTTCTCGACCTAACGACTTAAGCATTTGCATGCGAGAAAAATGGTGAACCAAAGACACTTATCAGTTGGCATATACAAATACCAAGTAAATTAATATGTTCAGCTTTTTTTCTTCTTCTTTGTACCATCATATACGCACACAAATTTACATACACGAATGGATGCATATACATATACACATACGTACACACACACACACACACACACACACATATATATATATATATATATATATATATATATCTCACAAATATTCTGAAAAAAAAATTAATTTGTTTTACGGACAAGATAATTTTCTTAACCCGGTTGGAAACAAGATAAAATATCTAAAAATAAAGAGAAAAAGTGGGAATGCATTTTAGTTTTTGGAGTATAAATAGAAGGAAGCGTTCATACCGGATCGAAATTATGTAAAGTTGGTATTGTTCTTAAAGTCGTAAGCGGCCATTGTTAGATTCAGATAGAAGGCGTTTACGGCTTTAGAACAACAACGATCAGGTCACGCCTTGCTTGTAAGCAACTTTGGTGCCTCTCTTGGTTTCACAAGCCAGAAGCCAGGTTTCTCTTATCTCTCCTCTTGTTCATAAACTTTCCCTTTGATCGTTTTTATGTTTTATGCATGTTATATGTGTGTTATAGTTCAAATGGCTATAATTATGTGTATGAACATTCAGAATCTTATCCACGATAATATGACCTTCACATACGAATAATGTAACATCCCACATCGCTAAGAGGTGTGGATCCTGTAAGTCTTATATGTATATTCTCATTTCTTCCTAGCAAAAGGCTTTTTGGGAGCTCATTGGTTTCGGGTTCCATCGGAACTTCGAAGTTAAGCAAGTTCGTGCAAGAGCAATCCCATGATGGGTGATCCACTGGGAAGTTCTCGTGTGAGTTCCAAAAAACAAAATCGTGAGGGCGTGGTCGGGACCCAAAACGGACAATATCGTGCTACAGTGGAGTCAAGCCCATGATGTGGTGGGGGCTCAAACCAAGATGTGACAATTTTGTAACAAAGCCAATCTCTGGCCAGAAGTGTGTCGATGAGGACATCAGGCCACTAAGGGGTAACATCCCACATCGCTCAGGGGAATGGATCCTGTAAGCCTTATATGTATATTCTCATCTCTACCTAGCACGAGGCCTTTTAGGAGCTCATTGGCTTCGAGTTCTATCGGAACTCTGAAGTTAAGCAAGTTCGCGTGAGAGCAATCTCATGATGGGTGACCCACTAGGAAGTCCTCGTGTGAGTTCCCAGAAACAAAATCGTGAGGGCGTGGTCGGGGCTCAAAGCAGACAATATCGTGCTACGGTAGAGTCGAGCCCGGGATGTGGTGGGGGCCCTGACCGGAATGTGACAAATAAGATTTCTTATATTAATTATACAATTTTCCCTGAAAGTATTGTATTATATTTTGGCTTAATTTATAGGAAATTGAGTAAAATGATTAATAAAATCTTTACGTCGTATTGTATGGACATATAATACCAATTTTTTTTTTTTTTTGTTAGATGGAGAATGAGAAATGGGATTTAAGATTACAGGTTCGAAACCACCCAACATAACAAACTAGATAATAATACTGAATTATCCAATTCTCTGCTGGAAAACATAGTGCGTTTTAATGATTAAGGAAATACATATTATGGTGATATCAAACAGTTTATTTTGTGTCGATTATATATGTTATTTATGACAATACGTGTTCTTTTTTCTATAATTTAATTTAGATCAAGATTCGTAATGGTGGTATTTGTTTTGTTTTAATTAGCACGTACACGTGATCTGAAGAGACGGTTTAGGCTTTGAATTTTATAATACGAGGATGAGCAAGCTTTAGACATTAATCAGATAATGTTAAGCCATGTAAAGCATTCAATTGGAGAGTTGATATTGTTTTACTTTCCTATTTCAATTAAACATTACACGAAATCGTGACTTTCCTCCATACGGATTCAATTTGCTCTCTGGTTCCAATTACACTTTTTATTATATCTAAACATGTGATAAGTCCAAAACGAAACACCAACATACTGCCTACTTTCAAAATATAATTTTGACTTAACTTCAAGACAACGAGAAATTTTTAGTTGTGAGGAGAATACGGATGGTACACCACGTGTTTTTATGTAAATGATGGAAAATTTTAATTTTTAAGTTACTAACATTTTAACACACATATCCCATCATTTATATAGGGACACGTGGTGTACCGTCTCGTGTGACGGTCACACTAAAAAATCTCTCAAAGACAATATGGGCATATACATCACCCGTGTCTTGAATTTCTTTATTTATATATTTTACTCAGTGATTGGCTTAAGTAGGCAATAATGTTAATGTGAACTTATGGAATCTCATTTATTTCTTAACAAGTAGGACTCTAACATGTGTACAGACTCATTATTCGCGGACAAACTTGGTGCAAAAAAGTTGGTGTTCGTGACTTCACAACCAAAGTCATAATTAAGATTTTTTTTTTTTGAAATAATAATATATTTACACTAAAGGGTGGTGTGAATAAAATGGTTTTCATCTAATCACCCATGAAACTTAAACTTAAAATTTTTCACTTATTAGTGAATGTTGTTTAAAACCATTAGAGTTAGCAAGGTGGGTAGAGTGATAGATAGAAATTACTGCAATTTAATCCGATTAAATCCCATAAAATTTGATATTGTATTCAACAATCTTTTTGCGTACATTTTGAAGTGTGAGAAGGACAAATAAAAAAATTTCACATTTTTGGTGCAATATTACAAATTCAAATTTTCCATGCCGATTCTATTACCATAAAATGTTTGTCCATACATGCTAACTCACAACAAATTGATTGTGAAAACGCAGGAGAGGAGACTCTCAGAAAATACAGAAGAAGAAGAAGAAGAAGAAGAAGAAGAAGAAGAAGAAGAAGAAGAAGAGAAAAGGTCCCAGAAGGAAAGAAAAAAATTATAATAAAAGGGTAAAAATGGCTGGTGGTGGAGAAGGTCCAACGCTACAGTTCACGCCAACATGGGTGGTGGCGGCGGTGTGCACGCTGATCGTGGCTATCTCTCTCGCTATGGAGCGTGCACTACACTCCGGCGGCAAGTACTTGAAGAAGAAGAAGCAGAAGCCGCTGTACGAGGCTTTGCTGAAGGTGAAGGAGGAGCTGATGCTGCTGGGGTTCATCTCTCTCCTCCTCACTGTTTTTCAGAAGAGGATCACTAAAATTTGCGTGAGCCCTAGGATTATGGTCAAGTGGCTGCCATGCAAACTCAATCACTATGACGATCATCTGAACGGCGAAAAAACTGCCCATTACTCAGCCAACTCCGTGTTTGGTGGCATTCTTGGACCTACCAGGAGGCTGCTAGCTGCCGGGGGTGAGGCTCAACGAGGTTACTGTGGCAAAAAGGTATCTTCAACATAACCCAAAACCCTATTTAGTTTTTTTATTTTTTATTTTTTATTTTGTGCTTCTATATATGATGATCTTATCAATGTTTAGTGTCGGATGATTGGCTATACCGAGTATCGATCAGTTTATGGTACCTAGTGCATTTTTGTTATTCATCAACATTTGAGCAAATATCAACACGATATTGATAAGAATTTTGGTATCTGGTGTCAAAAAGTTTGCTCTTATTTCAATTTATTTGCTACAGTGGTTGGGATTTTTTTAAAGTTTGCTTTAATTTTTTAAATTTTCTGACTAACTTGTCTGATTTATTCATGTGTTTTGATATTCGTCAAATGGAGACTAATGAACTTATAGTACTGGTTCAAGAGTGTGCCAAATTGGAACCCATTTGACTAAGTTCGAAGGGGTTTTGGTTGTGAAATTGAAGCCTCTTCGAGTTAGATTGAAAGGTTTTGATTCTAGAATCAAGGAATGGTTCACACCTGAAACACATTTGAGAACTGCAGCAAAATGAATCCGTTTTTGTTTATCATGACTTAATGAACTGAGTAGTTGAGAACAAATTAACAAATAAATGATCTATTTTATTGAAGCCATGCTGTCTATGATAATCTTCAGGGAGATAAGACCAAATGATTGATAGATAGATAGACATACCCAAAAGAGATACAGCTACAATGCAAGTTGATAGAAATAATTTTGGAAGTTCATTTTCCAGAATAGGAATAGAGGACCTCATTGGGCATTCCATGAATGATTTCTTTATGTTTTTATGGATTTCAAAAAAAAACAATAAATTAATGTTTCATTTTCATTGTATATGCACAGATACATAAAAATTAGGGAAAATTAGGTTCACATCCTTTTTTTTGTTACTCCATTGATTAAAATCCTATTCATTTTCAATTTTTGATCAAGGTCTTGGGTATTAATAACATCATTAATTATTTGAATAATAAAATATTTTTATTTTTAAATATATTCCTTTAATGTTAAAAATGTTACAATTTGTATATTTATATTTATGGCTAAATTTTTTATCATATATTTTTATTTTTAGTTTGTACCTATTTTTAATTTGCAAATATTTTTAATTTGAACCAATTTTCTTTTCATTTTTAATTTGTACCCATATATTAGTTTCTTTTTGTGCCCATATTTTTTAAAGTTTTATTTGTGTTTGTACTCAGTGTCTACTGTCACGTGACATTTAATCAATGATAGAAAAATTACATATGGTATATTTATGTTTTATGCCTAAACTTTGTATCATATATTTATATTTTTAGTTTGTACCCACTTTTAATTTGCAACATTTTTTTTTAAATTTGTAGTATTTTCTTTTTAGTTATATTTTATACCCATGTATTAATTTCTTTTAGCGCCTATATTTTTAAAAATTCATTTGTATTCATAATTTTTAATCTTTTATCTGTACCCTAATTTATTTCTAATGTACCCATTCTTCTTTATTAATGTACTACTTTGTTATATGTGAAACGTACCAATTTGTTTGTAAAATGTACCAAATTTTTTAACACTATGGATACATTCTTTTGGCATTTATTATTTATTATTTATACATAGTTTTTATCCATTTATTCAATCAAAATGTTTGAATTTTTTTATTGTAACCATTTCAAATAGTATTATAATGAGGATTTTAATTTTATAGGATTATAAATCTCATAAAATATGAAACAATTAATGTCAAAACTATAAAAATATAAATATTAATAGTAATATAATGAGGTGTACAAAGTTAAGGGACCTTGATCAAACTTTGAATATTATTAAGATTTTAATCCAAGAATGTTAAGGATTATGGGCCGCATCAAAAGTATCCCTAAAAATTATTTGTTATGACTCTTTTCATTTTTTTTCTTCCCACAGAATAAGGTGCCATTGCTATCAGTTGAGGCATTCCATCACTTGCACATCTTTATCTTTGTCCTAGCCATTGTCCATGTGAGCTTCTGTGCTCTCACTATTGTCTTCGGAAGTTTAAAGGTGAGCTAGACCACTGATTATCTTTCTTAAACCTTTACTTTGACATTTTACTGTTGGTGTTTTAAACGCAGCCCTTTTCATAACACCCTTGATTTTGTTACCATGATTCAGATACATCAATGGAAAAAATGGGAGGATGAAAATGCAAAAGAGATTATTGAAGTAGATGAAGGTATGAATTCTTGCTGTGTTTTCTTTTGATATTTGTTATTGACTATGGGATTTATGTGATGTCCCAATTGCATGTTTATGTGTTCAACATCACAACTAGTAGGTTTAATTCCATTAGAAAATGCACTGCGAGTCTTCAGATGAGCAATCTGACTGACTTGCAGAACTACATTCTCATTTGGAAAGGCTTTGCGTCATCGATCTTCTTGTTGCTTGTGTATTTTCCAATTCGGGATTTGTGTTGGTGCAGCTCAAACAAAAATTACCCATGTTCAGGAGCATGACTTTGTCAAGGATCACTTTTGGGGTATCGGTAAAAATTATGTTTTCATGGGATGGCTGGTAAGTTATTTCTGTTTACAATTCAATCTATCTACATATATAATTCTAACTAAGGCTAGAACTTACGAATGATAAAATAATGGTTGAGTTTAGTGCATTTCTTTTACTTTTACGATAAGAAAAAGAAACGATGCTTATTTTTGTTTTCCCAAGTGCCCATGATACCCAACGATTTTGGTGAGTCTTACACATTTCTGGGATAGGAACTGTCAAGGCATCTAAGACATTATACTTCAGATTCATTTAAAATTAGAACGATTTTTATTGTTTTTTCAATAGAAATACTATAATGCTAACAAAGCGTTTTGTTTGTTTGTTCTTTCTGCATATGTTCAGCATTCTTTTCTCAACCAACTTTATGGATCAGTGTGCAGATCAGATTACTTGACTTTGCGATTGGGTTTCATCTCGGTAAGTACCTTACAAGAGGTTGATTTGTTCTAATATAAGTATGTTTACTGTCTCAGTCGGCTCCTAACCTATGATATATTTTTCATCTTCATTATTTCTACTGCAGACCCATTGCAGGGGAAACCCTAAGTTTAATTTCTACACATACATGGTACGCGCACTTGAAGATGATTTTAAAAGAGTCGTCGGTATCAGGCAAGTTTTATATGATATATTTTTGCCATATTGAAGTTCCTTGTGTATTAATTTGGTTAATTTTCGAGAGGAGTTTAATATTTATGACCAATCCGTCCTTTAAAATGGTTTTGATTCGTTTTGATTCACCATATGGTTTTTGTTGGCTGCAGTTGGTATTTGTGGATATTTGTCGTCCTCTTCATGCTTCTGAATGTTGATGGTATGATTCTTGTTTCAAACGAAACCACCTCCCCTTGACATTTTCATGCAGTTTTTGCAGTTGTGGCATGGATTGCATTGCCCGCCTTCAAGTTGAACACTATCGCGATAAATAATGACATTCTTTTCTTTTTCTTGTGCAGGATGGCATGCATACTTCTGGATTGCTTTTGTTCCTTTCTTTGTAAGTAGTCTTGACATAACCTTACTCTCAGGTTTTGTGGCTCATTCACATGTGCTGCATTTGCATGTAAAACTGCTATACTTGCAGATTCAAGCATTTCATCCAACTTCAATTACATACCAGAGTGACATAATGTAACTTTACCTATTAGCAGGTAGCTGCATAAGCACACGAACTTTTCCATTACATTTCAGTCACCGCGCCATTTGAGTTGTGCATAATGAAGAAAACTAATTGCTTCTCTTATCATCGTTCATCTGATTTCAGTTCCTTGTTATGTACTCAATCTTTTCTTTCCTATTTCTCCAGCTTCTACTTGCTGTCGGAACCAAGCTGCAACACGTAATCACCCAGTTGGCTCACGAGGTTGCTGAAAAACATATCGCCATAGAAGGGGAACTAATAGTTCAGCCATCAGACAAGCACTTTTGGTTTGGCAAGCCCAAGTTTGTTCTCTTCTTGATCCATTTCATCCTCTTCCAAAATGCTTTCGAAATGGCGTTCTTTTTCTGGATATGGGTAAATTCAGATTCTATGATCCACAACACACCGTATGACTACAACTAAATTTGTAATCGAGTTTGAGTTAATCAATCTGCTTATATTTTTTTGCAGGTTCAATATGGTTTTACATCTTGCATAATGGGGAAAGTAAAATACATTGTCCCCAGGCTTGTTATTGGGTAAAAATCCAAAGACCTTTCCCTTCATTCTTATAAATTATCGTTCGAAAACATTCGAAGAACATTTATTTAACATTTCTTACTGCTAATCCATCGCCTTTTAATTTTCTTTTTCATTAGGGTGTTCATTCAGGTGCTCTGTAGTTATAGTACTCTACCACTTTATGCGATTGTCACGCAGGTGTGTCGAGTTTAAAACTAACAAATTGACCTTCTTTTTTTTCTGGAAGATGAGGGTTTGGCAAATTTAGTCAAAATTTGATGTTGATGGACGAAAATTGCCCTTACTCGAAGCTTGCCCCTAAGCCTCTTCAAGAAAGACTCGAAGCGGGTTTGATTACGCTTAGAAGAGTCGATACTCGTAGGGGCTTTAAGAAAATAATTAAAGGAGTGTGTTTTGTCAACAATCATCAAATTTTGGCAAACTCACCCTAAGAGAAATAGCCATTTTAAAACAAATTGTCATGAGTTTTGGCCACTATTCTGAAAATGGCTATTTTTCATCAGGGTGACTAAATTTTGTCACCCTAAGAGAAATAGCCATTTTAAAACAGATTGTCATGAGTTTTGGCCACTATTCTGAAAAAGGCTATTTTTCATCAGGATGACTAAATTTTGTCTATTTTTCGAGGTGATTGTTAAGGTTCCTCATTCTTTTTCAAAATGTTGATTATATAAAATTCTGTTTCTGCAATGCAATGCAGATGGGAACCAATTTCAAGAAAGCAATGTTCGATGAGAATATACGCTCAGGACTTGTTGGTTGGGCTCAAATGGCAAAGAGAAGGAAGGCGAGCATCGACGCATCTTAATCTAGCATTGGTTCCGTTGCGGGAGTTTAGCTAGGCAAACTTAACCAAAAGACAACTACGAAGGGCTATACATCTCTGCCTCACATGATATATATTTTTTGTAGTCAAATATAGCTATAGTTTTCTCAAAAAAAAATATAGCTATACTTGTTCGGTGTATGTGTTCCTCGCACAACTTCCCCTACGTGAATGATGAACTCTTGTGTTAATTTTGAAAGGTGCCTTAGTTGAGCCTTTGTTAGTCTCTTGGGCTCTCTTGCAAAGTTAATAATGTAACATCCCACATCAACTAATGGAGAAAGGGTAATGTGCCTTATATGTACATGCCCACCTCCTATAGCACGAGGCCTTTTGGGCACTCACTGGCTTTAGGTTCTATCGGAACTCCGAAGTTAAGCTAGTTTGAGCGAGAGCAATCCTAGGATGGGTGACCTCCTAGGAAGTTCTCGTGTGAGTTCCCAGAAACAAAACCATGAGAGCGTGGCCCAAAGCGGACAATATCGTTCTATGGCAGAGGAGGGGCCTGAGATGTGGTGGAGCCCGGGTCGAGATGTGACAATTTGGTATCAGAGCCACTTTGATGTGTAGTGCAATTATATGTACATACTCACCTCCATATAGCACGAGGCTTTTAGGGAGCTAATTGGCTTCGGTTTCCATATGAACTCCGAAGTTAAGCAAGAATGGGCCAGAGCATTCCCAGAATGGGGGACCCACTGGGAAGTTCTACTCGCGTGAGTTCCCAGAAACAAAACCGTGAGGGTGTGGTCGGGGCCCAAAGAGGACAATATCGTGCTACGGCGGAGGCGAGGCGAGGCTCGGGATGTGATAATTTTTGTAACATCACACATCGACCAATGGAGGGGGGTGATGTGCCTTATATGTACATGCCCACCTCCATATAGCAAAGGCCTTTTAGGAGCTCACTGGTTTCAGATTCCGTAGGAACTCAGAAGTTAAGCAAGAATGGGCCAAAGCATTCCCATGATGGGTGACCCACTGGGAAGTTCTACTCGCGTGAGTTCCCAGAGGTCGCGTTTGGTACGCAGGACGGGACGGAACAGAGTGGGACGAGGCATTCTGTCCCACGTTTGGTACGCTTAAAATGAGTGGAACGGGTTGTTCCACGGGACAAGTTTTGGATGATTTTTTGTACCACCTCCCCCCTGGAACGGGTTGTTCCACGTCCGTGGGACAAAAATTTACAATATTTTAAGACAAAAATGCCCCTTGTCTTTTTCAAAATTTGCATCATCAAAATCATACAAACCCTAAAAACTATATTCTCTTCTTCTCTCAGCCGCTATGAACACCTTCGCAAACTTCCTCCTCATCTTTTTCCGTGTAGCCTCTTCACCTCTGCATCTCCCCTTCGCAACCTTCATCCTCGTCCTCTTCCGTGTAGCAACTCTGCGAACCTTCCTCCTCATCTTCTTTCGTAGCATCTTCAGCTCTGCATCTCCGTTCCAGGTTCAATCTGTTCTTTCGGTCTCTCTTTCTTTGTAAAAAAATTTCTTTGTAATTTGATGGCATTATAGTGAAAACCAATTGTTCAAATGTTTTTTATTTGTTAAAGGCTTTATGTGGTTGACATTTCCACTGCCCAGTCGTCTTCTTCTTATTATTATTCTTTATCTCTCTGTTTTTTTCTTTCAATCTGTTTAATTTAGTCGTTTGCAGAAAACTTGGCCAATCATAAGATAGTAAAAATTATAGATTATAAGATTCTACCCATCCACAAGGTGAAAATCTTTAATAGATTGCACATTCTTACATTCTCAGTTCTTCTGAGAGCTCCTCATTTGAGATGGAACGAAAGCCTGTTGGCGTAACACCTAATTTTCAGACTCAAGACTTGACAAGTTAAACTGTAACCTGATTAAGAAAAAAAAAAGTTTGTCAACCACAGTTTATATTGATAGAGACATTCAACAAATTACTCAGCTATACGACAAAAATAGAAGAGCAAATATACATGATTACCTTTCAATAGTCTCCTGAATGTGCACTGTTTCAGCCGTGAATACAACCACCAAGAACCTTTACCAGATTTTGGTGCTGAAGTTTGGCAATCAGTACGACTTCATTCATGAACTCGTCTAATCCTTAACCAGAACTTCTAGAAAGCCTCTTCACATCTATTTCTTGTCCATCTGCTAGTGTCCCCTGAAAATTTACACTGCATCAAATATTGCAAAATTCACTATAGTGATTCTTTGTTATCCTGAGCCTTGCTGTAAAGAAAGTTACAAATTTACTCTGTAAACAGGTCCAAAGCTACTTTCTCCTAGCTTGTTTTCGGTTGAAAAGTTTTCTGTCACACTAACTATTTCATTCCAGTCGAAGAGTGGCAACTCTAGGTTCTCTTTTCCTTCCCATTCATTGCTCTGATCTCTTTCTCCTAATTCTATTTTTTCTGTTGTAATATACTTCATGTAAGCAAAATGAAACTTATATTTGAAGATGCAATAAATATTAGTTCAATCAATTTAAACTGGAACAAATTTTTCATCTCTTTCTCTCAGATGCTCATATCGAGTATACAATAAACTAAAACGAGAAAGTGTTAAGCAAGGATGGTCGGATTAGTTTACTAACTTCTTAGGTTTTTCATCTTTCGCCGAATGTATCCAACTAACAGAATTCCTGAAAACAATAGTGATTGAAACTACAACTATCAATGGTGTCTTCCATTTACCATCGTTTCCTTCTTCTTGGTTGCCGGATGAAGTATCTGAGAAGGAAGATGAACTACCAAGTAACATTGTAGAAGCAATTGTAAATCTTCCCTAAACACAATGGAAAAGTAATTTAACTACATGGCAGATAAATGCATTTAACAAGCAGCTATTGTTACTTCTTACCTAAAGCTAATTCTAACGCTAACAATCGAACATATAGATCCGGCCCAGCAGTCACAAGCTCCCTTATATCTAGTAGATCACCATACCAAAGGGCGCAGCCAGTACCTCCTCTTATATCTGAGCTTGTATAAGCCGTACAAGAACAGTTGCCCAAGCATTTTGCTCTGCATTCGTTGAGATTTATACTTCGATTCACCCAAGAGTGTGTGGTATCAGGCAACTTTAGGCTAGTGAAATTAAGAAAACCATCCTTATCCTTTTCTTGGCAGCTTAAAGGTTTGTTGCGCACACATCCAAGAGACCAGTCGGTCAAGTTCCCTTTTTCTTAAGACTTAGGCCTAAATCCTTTCAGACATTGGCAGACCTGATAATTGTCAAAAGTACATTTTCCATTGGCTCCACAGAGGTGATACTGATTACATTGCTCCCTAGGCTTTGACGACAACTGCCCCCAATCTGGATCCATGTCATCCCAATAATAGCGAGCACATTTACCAATGGTTTGGTTCAAAACTATTCTTGAGATTATCTGAACTTTATGCTCGTATGTGTAGTACACTTCATCGTCAGTGTACACAAAGTTGAAAGCATGTTATGTATATGGCCATGAAAATGAAATGAATGTGCTTGATAGGAAATTGGACAACTCAAATTAGAAATAGCATTTGTGAAAAATTCAAATGAGGAAATTAAAGGCGATCGAAGGATGTGAAGTTGTGTTCTTATGTTATATACACACACACACACATATATGCGCGCGCGTGTGAACATTGGCAGGCATATGCTGTCAAATGATGTAAGTTCTTGAAAGTCCTTGCATTATACGTTTAGGGATGCCTATAATGCAGATACTGTCATATTTGGGGGACCAGTGTAGGTTTTTAAAACTTTCTTTATATTTATACATGTATAAATTTTTTGGAACATTATATATGGAGGTTTGGGCCAATGGCCTTCTCCACGTAGGTACTAAAAACTTAACAAAAAAAGAATTGAGATTATATATTGAAATATATATATATATATATATATATATATATATGTATGTACCTGAATTATGTAATGTTATATTCTGATTATGTGCACAGATGTTATGTTATAACACTGTTAGTTTGAATTAGAAGTATTGTTGGCACCGAACACTGGAAAGGAATGCGTAAGTCTTTGATATTAATTTCAAGTATTGGCAAGGGAGGATGGGGTAATGAGAATTTCTAACTTAGCAAAAGAATTGCAGGTTTAGATGCATGATGAGTGCAATTTGATATCCTAATTAAACTTAGCTCTTACCTAGTGATACTTAATTACAAATTTGTTCACAAAATTTTTACCAACTAATTCTTGGTTATATTTCAGTTCCAAATATTGGAAGAGATACAAAATTCGATTTCTCTCTTCCCTTGCATTATTAAAAACTCGCAAAATTGATCGTTTCTCTTCCATTGCATTAACAAAAACTCGCAAATTTCATTATTTTCCCTTTATATAATATGTTTACTTGAAATTTATGAAGCACACCTAGCTAATATACAAACAACTAGCAGCAGTATCAACTAAAGGTTGTTAGATTACTAAAGAAAATGCATGGTTGGTATATATAAAGAGCAGCAGATACGTTGGCTGTAGTTCCATATTACTGTTGCTATATTTATTCATTATTTAGAAATGCTTTTTAGGTTTTGAGAAGTGCATATTTGATGAATCGTAAAACCTTAACCTTATGCAGAAGGAATTGAGCTAGATATGTGAATATATAAATCTCATGTCAACTTTTTTGTTATGCAGTCAATATCTTATTTGTTCTCAGAAACTTATTAAGGTTTGTTATCTATAACAGGCTTATCAAGAGTCAACCAAAGAAAAGCAGCGTGCCCAAATTGCTCAAGGTTTCACTTCATCTCCCTTCTATTTTCTTCCTTTCCATAGATGGGTACTTTTTATTTGTTATAGATATCAACACATTTTGGGTTTGAAATGCTATACATGTTTAGGATGGGGGTCATGCAGGGTTGCACAGATATGAATTGCCTCAGTTATGTTTCCCTCGTTATATACACCCATGTTTCTCTCGTTATATACACCCATGAATTACCCCTTTAACAGTTGCTGGTTTATGTGTTCTAATTTGTCTGCTATAGAAGACAGATAAGTAGTAGGTTGCATTTACACAGCTTACTATGGCGTTCCCATTTCTTGTTTTGATCAAAATTTTATTATCAGTTTTATTTATTCATAATTCTTTAGATGGATGGAAAAGTGAATAGAAATTGAAGTTAGAGAAAATTTGACATGTTGTTGAGTAGACCATTACCCTTGCAAAAAGTGTAGGACCTTGTTATCAAATTTCTCACTGAGCATGTGAGTTCATGATGATCATATAGACTAACATTTAGCCTACTTGATTGATTCTTTCCTGCGTGATTGATTCTTATTGATTCTTTCTTAAAATCACTTTCAAGTTTATATACCTGTTGTGCTTTGCTTTGTGATGGTTTCTAGGGTTTTTTTTTTTTGTGTTAAAGCTCTTGTATGTGTTTGCTTAATTTTACCAAGTCCAAGTATCTAAAATGAATTTAGCGTATGTTGATGCTCCACTCATTCATGTGTTGTTTTTTTGCATGTGAAGGTATAGATGAATATGAGACTCAATTCTTTGTTCTTTTGAACGTTTGGATTATAATGGCACAAGTCTTTACTATGAATGCACAATTGTTAAGGTATAGACAACAACAAAGGAGACAACGGGAAATAGCTAGTTTAGAGCAGAGGACATTTGTTAGACTTCATGTTAGGAGAGAGGAAATAAATCATATCACGCGATTGAGTGATACTAACTGTTTGTGGGAGCTGTGAATGGATAGGAATGCATTTGCAGTTTTATGTGATTTACTACAAACTCGTGGTGGATTGGTAGATGAGTCATGTTACAATAGAGGAGCAAGTAGCTACTTTTGTTAACTTATTAGCCCACCACAATAAAAATAGGTCAATGCAAGTTAGATTCATTAGGTCTGGTGAAACTATTAGTTGGTATGTCCGCAGAGTATTGCGTGCGTTGCTCAGTTTGCAAGATGTTTGCAAAACCAACCCCTATCCCAGAGGATTGCACGGAATCGAGATGGAAATGCTTTAAGATAATCATCATAGTAAAATCATTAATAACATAATTATTTGTAGTTGCTAATTAATATAAGTTTTTCTTTTGTCTAGGGTTGCTTAGGAGCGCTAGATGGAACCTACATAGGGGTCACTGTGCCTGATGTCGATAGACCAAGATATAGAACAAGGAAGGGTCTTATAGCAACTAATGTGTTAGGCGTATGCACACACGACCTCAAATTCATATATGTGTTATCCGGTTGAGAGGGATCAGTTACTGATTCGAGAGTTCTTGGTGACGCTGTTACTAGAGCTAATGACCTCAAGGTCCCAACTGGTAAGATAGACAAGCACCTAGTATTTTTCCTTACCTTTGTTGGCCAACAACTAAAATTTATTATCAACTAATATAGGTACATACTATTTGGTTGATTCCGGTATACGAATGGTGAGGGTTTTTTGGCACCGTATAGAGGCATTAGATACCATTTGCAAGAGTGGAAAGACAATTCACGTGCACCTAGGAATCATGAAGAATATTTTAATATGAAACACTCACGTGTTAGGAATGTCATTGAGAGATGTTTTGGCCTCCTCAAACGACGTTGGGCTATCTTACGAAGTCTTTCCCACTATCCAATCAAGATTTAGGGACGAATGATCACCGCATGTAGTTTACTTCATAATTTTATCAGAATGTATATGGCGGTTGATCCTGAGGAAAATGCAAGACTTGCATTTGATGAATTACCTATAGGGGAAGATTTACCATAAGTATTAGCCTACATTGAAACCATTGAGTCAAGCCAGATATGGACTCAATGGAGAGATGATCTTGCAAGAGAAATATATGATGAGTGGAGAGGAATGAGGGCTTGAAAATTGGTTGACATGGTAGTTGTTGTAATTGGCTTGAAAATTCGTAACATCAAAGACTATTAGGATGCTTGTTATTGTAATGTGGTAATTGGGAGTTATCTGGATGTTATGGCTTCTTTGATATGTTTATTTGTGTTACTAAATGTTATGGCTTCTTTGATATGTTTATTTGTTTATTTATGGCTTCCTGCATTCCTCAGGGTATTGTTGTTCTCTTCCACGTAGTTGTACTCAGTCCTGCAAACCTAGTGCTAAAACCTCTAAGGTTGATAAACCTAAGCTTTGGGCAAACCCTAATTTATATATGTTTTCTGTGAAATTGGTTTTTAGTTTTGTGTCTTCAAAACTTTGTTCTTCTAGTATTTCACAATTCGTCTCCACAGGTTAGATTTATCAATAAAAATTCAAGTTTAGGGACACAGATCTATGCAATTTTAGGGAAATTTGAGAAAGCTGGAAGCTTTTCTGCAAAACCCCATTCGTTAATTTGGTGGCTTTCAATTTGTATAGCTAATAAATCATTTTGATTTGGTAATTGATTAGTACAACTAATATAAATTTAGTCATTGTCATTTGATTGTGTTTCTAATTTAAAGATTTCAATGGAAACAACACATGAATGTGGTTTTCTATTCATTATATCTATGTTTATTTGTGTTACTTATGTAATATATGGCTTCTTTGATAGATTATATGGCCACCTCACGTAATTGGATTGATCATGAGGAGGATGTACTACTTACCATCCTCGAGGAGATGGTTGCTCATGGTGTTAGGTGTGAGACCGGCAGTTTTAAGGCTGATACTTTTGTAATGGTTGCCTCCAAGATGAGGGAACAGATTTCTGGCATTAATATAGAGCTTAAGCATATACAAAACAAATTGAAGCGCCTGAAAGAAAAGTATTCATCTGCATATGACATGATGAATACATCTGGATTTGGTTGGGATGATGAAAAAAAATGTGTTGTTGTGGATAATGATGAAATACTACAAGATTGGATGAAGGTAAATTTTTTTTCTTATTCTTTATCAATTAGTTGCTTTGAGAGTCTTAACCTTGATTTCTTTGGGTTCTTATTGTAGAAACATCCCAATGCATCTTGCAAACCAAATAAGCCATTCCCATTGTATCCACGGTTATGTACAGTGTTTGGGAGAGACCGAGTCATGGGTAGTATAGCTGAATCAGCAGCAGATGCAATTGAAAATATGGGTTTGGAAAGTGAGGATTGTGAGACTTCCGAGATGCCTCCGCATTCACCTACCCCATCTCATTCTGTTGCTACATCTAGTGCATCTCAACCTGTTAGGAAGGAAGAGGAGTAGGAATGATGGTGATGTAAATATTGTATCTGTTATCAATGAAGGTTGGAATAAAGCTGTTATTGAAATGAAGAAATTAGGTGAAAGTTTTACTTTCAGAGAAGCGAAAGCTAGACTACCTTTTGAGCTTCAGGCCATGGGCCTCCCCTACAATCAGGTGCTAAGAATTTCAATGAAGTTAGTGAAAGATACCGATCTGATGGGTATTTGGACTACCTTGGATGACTCATAGAAGCCAAATTTCATTAAAGTGTTTATGGAGAGCCCTTGAGCATTTGGGGTTTTAGTATTTGTGGTTTTAGTTTGATGAACTTTATCAACTTCTAGTGTTTTCATTATTGCTTTAGCAAGACATTATTTGTTTTTTAAGTTGGGACGAATGTTTAATTTTGGATATTTCATGTTTAAGTTTTGCATATTTCATTTTCTTTGTTTAAGTTCTGAATGTTTAAACTCTAAAACATTTACAATATGCATGATCATTAAACTTATATATTTTTCAACATTTCTCATGTGCTCTTGTGTGGTTTGCCATGTAATGCAATGGGGAAAATTTAGAGGGGTGTCCTTCGAAACAAGGTCAATTTTAATGTTTGCAGAACCTGAACTCCCAGAACAACAACCCACAATTGAAAGGACCAAAATTAGGGACTAAAAATTGATTTGGGGTGTGGGTTTTGCAATTTGCATAATAAAATTTGATGGGTTTGTGCTGAAAATTCGGATGGAGCTGTAGCAAAATATCATGAAAGATTCGTAACTGCCAGCAGGTTGTAAGACTGACCACCAAAGCATAACAGCAACAATAGTTTACATACCAAGTAACAAAAGTTTCATTGAGCATGCCTATACAAATAGACATGCAAGAGAAAGATACCTATATTAATAAACAAACTAAGAAAGTATTTACAAGCCTCCTCTAGTCGACCTGCATCATGAAAACACAGTTTCAATTGATGCCATCTTAGAGAAAAAGGCTTAAGTAAGAATGTGTGTTTTTTTTAAAGGTCGACGCCATTTTACACCGCACTTGATGGGCAAGTGGGAGTTATGATAGCCAGTCTTCATGAGTTGCCCCCAGCTCTTATGAAACTGCAAATGTAAACAAACCACAAGTCAACATTCTTGAAACCAAATTCATATACCACTGGACTAAAGCCTTGAACTAGGAAGCATGTTTCATGTTGTACAAGAGAATTACTACCATTTGGTGACATTCACGTTGAGCCTGTTGATGGGTGAAATGCACTTGATCTCTTTGAAACTATAAAATCAAGCCATTAAGAAGTATAAATACGAATTTCACAACTGTTGAGCAACATATTTAAGCAGCTGAAATAAACTTTACTCGGCAAGTTTAACAGGCTTACCTCCAAAGCATTGCATTCATAAGATAATTTTTGCTTCTCCACAATACTAAAATCGTCATATCTGATAAGGGCAATAGCATTTCTGTGTAAATTTTCGCTCACAATTGAAAATTTAATAAATAAAAGTACTATAGAATTCTAAATGAACACTGACTTGAGAGACCACTTTAGATGATGTATTTTGTCTTCAATTAGATCGCATTGATTCATCAACAATTGAAGTTGCTGTATGAACCAGCATACAAGTTAGCTTGTTGATCATGATACTACATTACAACAGTTTCACAAGAAGTTTTAGAAAGATCTTGCGGGTATCTCTCAATTCCCATAGGAGTTCAACCTCCATCTCTAGCTCTGGAACGACAAGCATTGTTCTCCACCCTATCCATATAGACAATAAATTAGGGAAAATATGATCACATTTGGGGAAGCAACGTGGAAGAAAGAAAACACGCACATTGTTTAAAGAAGTGACACAGATAACTGAAATCGGGAAAAAAAAAAGGAAATTATAAGACTCAGTACCAAGAACCTTTTTGCTGCGCAAAATATCTCCATATATATGGTCACCAACATAAAGAACCTATGAAAAATGTGTAAAATATTAGACCCAAGTTTGTTGGTAGCATCGGTTTTTCTTACAACTGATGTACTTCCAGGAAAGAATAGTTCACCTGTGAACTTGACTCAATTGAAAGTAGTTTATGAAGATGGCCAACGCTACCTCCCTGAAACAATGTCAAAGGCACTATTACTCAAGTTGAAATAATTAACACAATAATCAGAAAAACGGAAGGTTTTGTTATAGAAAATAAACTATTCAAATAAAGCTATTAATATGATCCTATATAATGCACTAAATATTTAAGAGTACCTAGAAAACTCTACAAGCCTTCTTCTATCCCTTCAACAATAATGTAGGTGCAGGTGAAGAACTTCCAACCTTTTGGAATATGAAATTAATTAATAAAACTAGATAAAATAAGAGGATACGAGTGTATAATGCGACATACAATGAATTATCAACATTAGCATACCAACCTGAGCCGTAGAAGAACCATTATCAGTATTGATTAGCATCCCTGACTCGAGTTCTACCTCAAACAGATTAGCACGGTTACCATCATGAAAGAAGCTTGGCTTTGCACTGCATAGGTAACCACTTCTAATGGTTAGTAAAATGATAGTTACTATGACATAAGCGGTGTAGATGGCAAACAAATGCTTAGCAAATTCAGAGATGGTGAACATAATGATAAACAACATAACTCATAAAAACCTACACTATATCAAAGGGTAGGGTAATTGAAATCCAGATTAGCATTCTCCAATTAAGGAATTAATAAAGTAGTGATATATGGTAAAGAATAACAACAAAGAACGCTTAGAGGAAAGGAAAAATCATGACCTGCCAGTGATGACAACATCAAAGTATGTAAGCTTCAGCTAGAGCAAAGAGGGTATCAATGATAATATAATCTGGCTCGTCAAAGGAATCTCGTATTACAACACTTGGCCTCTCTCACTTCTATGAGGAAATCCCACAACACAGCATATTGCTTGCTACTTCCTAAAATGTCAATCAAAATGAACCTGTGTGCAAAAAATGTGATAGCTTTTAGCACTATGTCGAAAACCCAGAATTGTTTTAGCCCAAAGAATGAACCTGTGTGCAGAAAGCCCGAGATTTTTGCAGCGTTTCAGAACTTGCTCAACCCAAGTTTGTGGAGATTTGGGTAGACAAAGCGTTGAGGGAGAGCTCCAAGTCGTGGTGAGGGTTCTTGTGGTCGCTGAGGATGCAGGAGAACTTGATTACCAGGTGCGGTGATGGTGGAGATGGCGGGTTGTGGTGGGTGAGAGAAGAGAAGGGGTGGCGATGAGTGTTGGGTTTGGAGGGTGAGAGAAGAGAGTGGAAGATAAAGAAAAAGAAGCAGCAGTGGCGATGTTCTGTGTGTAAGAAGGGTTTTGAGTATTTTGGTCATTTTAATCTTTTAGTTCCGTTCCGTCCATGCACTACCAAACGCAGGATAGAACAACCGTCCTATTCGGTCCCGCGCGTACCAAACATAACACAGAACATCTGTTCCATCCCGTCTCGTCCCGTCCTATCCCATCCCGTCCCGTCTCGTCTGCGTACCAAACGCTACCTAAGCGAACACTGTCACTATTTTTAGAACCCAATATGAAAGTATCAATTTTAAGGAAGCACTTGCATAGAAAGAAAGCTCATAAAGAGAGGATTAAACTTCTCTCTTGGGTCAAGGATCAAGGACTGGTAAAAATTTGGCAAAAATTGCCAGAAAATCGTCACCATTGGGGAGCTTGATGTCTTTAGACATTGAGTTTCAAAGTGTGGGTCTTCTATTAGAATAACGAGGGCGTCGATATGAACTCGTAGCCTCGGACATTGCGTGATTTATGAAGAATCTAAGATTGGAAAGAAGGAAAAAAGATGGAGGAACACAAGCAGCAGTTAATGTGTTTCCAGCGTGAAATGGACCAAATAAAAGGGCAAAGGCTTGCCTTCATGAGAAAAATGTTGAATGTTGAATTTGGACTTGTGCCAGTCTTATTCGGATGGTTTGATGTTGAATTTATCTTAATCATTAAATAAAGTTATTAAAATATTTTTTATTAAGATTCAAAGTTTTAAAACTTTTTTTTATTAGTTTTCATTGAGAACTATTGGCTTTATCCATATACTTTCACTTTTCACTCTGCAAACATTCAAACTCGGAGGAGCACTGTAACTCCCATAAGGTGTTTTCTTACAACACCTTTCTAACCTCATCTTTACTACAGATACCAATAAAAGAAATAAACTGAAAAATCCATCACTCTCCGCTCCACTTCAAATCTTTAGCAAAGGTTCTTCCTCAACTTATCTATATATATATAAAACATGGTTGTCCTCATTTAACACATTTTTAAAATTCAAGGACCAACTTGATACGTATAGAAAACCTGGAGGAGGAGGACTAAAGTGCAAGTCACAAAACAATTGAAGGCAAAAATTGAAAGATAACCCTTACAACCCATGGATCACGAGTCACCCGATCGACCCGACCCACTTCTCCACCCCCTCCAAATTTCAATGTATTCGTTTCACCATTTTCAGCCGGAAAAAGGAACCCAGGTAATTGGTAAACCCTAACAAACGCCATGACTCTCCACTCCATAGTCATACAGAAGCTGCTCAGCACCAACGCCCATTTGGGCCGCCGTGTCGCCGCCCACCACTTCAAGCAGTTCACCTACGGAACCCGCAATGGCATGGCCATCATCGACTCCGACCGCACCCTCATCTGCCTCCGCAGCGCCGCCGAGTTCATCGCCGCCCTCGCCCAGCAGAAGGCCCGCTTCATGTTCGTCAACACCAACTCCCTCTGGGACGAAATCATCGAGCAGATGACGAAGAGGATTGGGTGCTACAGCCCCTCCATGAACATGCTCTGGCGCACTGGCGGCTTCCTCACGAACAGCCACAGTCCCAAGAAGTTCAGGTCTCGCCATAAGAAGATTTGCTTCGGCCCCACCCAGCCCCCGGATTGCCTTGTGGTTTTTGACACGGATCGAAAATCTTCGGTGATTCTCGAGGCTGATAGGTTGCAGATTCCAATTGTTTCGCTTGTCGATTCGGCAATGCCATTGGAGTACTATAAGAAGATCACCTATCCGATTCCCGCCAATGACTCGGTTCAGTTCGTGTACTTGGTGTGCAATTTGATTACCAAGACGTTTCTTCTCCAGCAGAAGAGAAATGGTGCTGTTGCAGCGGACGAGGGGACGAGGTGGGTATCGTGTTGTTTGTGTTTATTGAGTTGCGCTCTAGGTGTTTGATGTTTTGCTCCAGTGAAACTTTGTGGTGAAATTTGATTGTGTGTGTTGTATTGAAGGGAGAAAGTGGAGAGTATAGAGGAGAGTAAGACTACCAACAAGGCTGAGTTGCTTGTGCTTCCTTACAACTTGTTACCCATTTCTCCTGGTAAAATTATAAACATTATTCCTTTAAGAAATTTCACCAAAAGCAATCGATTATTTAAGGAATTTCATTTCGTGCGTGTATGAGAGCGCAGGTGTTGAAGAAACTGAGGAGCTCTTAGACAAGCTTGTTGTGCTCAAGTTCAATGGAGCTTTGGGTACAAATATGGGATTCGATGGCCCCAAGTATGCACTCATACTCAATTACTACACTTTTTTTTTCTCTTTCTGTTCTCAGTTAATTGCATTCGTAGCCTAAATTGGTATACTTGTTCTGCCAGTATTGTTCTTGGTTTGGTTTTGGAGAAAATTTACTGTAATTATATTTATTTCTAATTCAGGTCTGCTATTGAAATCCGTGATGGGTTGACATCTTTGGACTTAATTGTTAAGCAAATTGAGGTCAGTTTTAACCACTCTCTCGTGTCTCTTTGTGTTGCTTTCAAAATTGCATAATGTATTCTATGATCTGCACTTCAGATATCCTAATATCACTGCTCCAATTTCTTGCAGACTCTCCGTTCTAAGTACAGATGCAGTGTTCCTTTGCTCCTGATGAACACACCAACGACACATGAAGATACCGTCAAGGTGACCTTGGCATATACTTGTAAGTTCATACTTTTGGATCCTATGGTTTTTTACTGATATCAGCTTGTGTAATGTAGGTCTTGGAGAAATATTCCATTTCAAACATTGATATCCATTCTCTTAAACAGGTTTTCAACTCTAACTTATATTTTATTTGTATAGTAGTTTATGTTGTTTTTTTTTCTTTCCCTTTTTTGGGTTATTGGAAGCTTGGATTAGGAATTACTTGTGAATGTATGTGTTCTAATCTATACAGACCGAACAACCACAGCTGAAGTCACATGGAGTAGGACGGGGTGGTGAAGATGAACTGTAAACGATCTTTCTTATGTCTTTTCAACATTATTAATTTTTTTTTAACTATAACATAAAAAATCAGTTTGATGTTGATAGCAGACATAACACATTTTCAGATAGATTAAGTGTTATTAGTTCCTGGTGATTTGCAGTGTTTGTTCTGGTGTGAGGATAGGAATATTTTTTTGTTCTTCAACTTCTCTTTTCATGTTCATTATGTGCACTATCTAGGGATCTATCCATATAGATACCATCTAATACATCTCTCATGCCCGTACCATCACAAATTGATTTATTTTGACATTTAATATATTTTTTTTATCAATTACACTCCTTTTGTGTATATGTGAAGGTATCCTTCTGGACATGGAGCATTGTTCCTTTCCCTTGTCAAAAGTGGAACTCTTGATGTCCTATTATCACAGGTATGTATAGTAGTTCTCTTTGTTTTATTTTTATGTTTATTTATTTACATTTTCATCTTAACTGCTTAGAAACATCAATTTGAATCAATGCCTAAAGAAGTACCTGGCGAGAGGTGGTATCTAAAGGTAAACTTGACTAACTTCTTCAGCTTTCCTTTTCAGGGTAAGGAGTATATCCTTCTGGTTAACTCAGACAACGTGGCTGCTACAATTGACCCAAGTATCCTTGTCGTAGTTTTTTTCTTTTATTAATGTAAGTTTATCTTATAGAGGTCGCACTTGGTGCGATGGCAAGTGCCTTCGCCCATGAGCGGTAGGTCTCGGGTTCGAGACTTGGGAGCAGCCTCTCCATAAATGGGGGTAAGGCTAGCCGACATTCACCTCTCCCAGACCCTGCGTAAAGCGGGAGCCTTGTGCACTGGGTACGACCTTTTTAATGTAAGTTTATCTTACATTGCCGGTCCCAAGCCCGGATAAAGGAGGAGGGGGAGGGCGTCAGGTAGTCGACAACCGGTACTCCTCGGTTACGTCGAATCCTTATGAAAGTGTAGTCCTCTGTCATACTTTCATTTATTTTGTGCTTTTGATCTTTTTTGGGCTTAATTGTAGACCCTTGTGTCCCTTAAGTGGATGTATAGAAATTTTAAACCATTTGATTGAAAACAAAATTGAATATTGTATGGAGGTAACAATCAACCCCCTTCTTTTTCTTTAGTTTATTTTCTCATTTTCTGTGGTAATATTGTAAGTGCGAATTTACCCTTCCAACAGGTCACACCTACCTCTTATGATTCAGATTTTAGCAACATTGGCTCACGCCTACAGAAGTTTGAGGTAAGTTGTATATAACCTTCCTCTTATCTCAATCCAATAAAATTGTGGTCGGAGTGCTCAATGGTAGTATTTTCAAAGGTGGTTAACTTTTTACTTTTTGTATAAATTAAATTTTGTGATGCAATTTATAAATGTTTGAGCTTTTGAGTGATAGGTTAAACGTGAAATTCTTTAATGAATCCACATCTTGTATGGGTCCTATTTTTCCTTCATTTTAAGTTGGTTGTAAAGAGTGAGATTCAAGTTTAGGGGAAGCCTTGAAAGGAAGCAACTGCTTAGATAAATTTGGAAACCTGTTCATAAAGCTGGAAGTTATGCCGTAATTGACCAGAACCTGGGGTTCTAGATTGAACTACTGAAAAGTTATTGTCATTACTGAAATTCATATTAATCCAAATGATTGATCACATGATGAAAGCCTTTAAGCTTATTGACGAGAGCGAAACCTTCCTTCCATTTGTGCTACGATCCGTCCAGTGTGTAGGGAGTTAGATTGGAGGGTATAACCTTTTGATATAACTTTTTCTTCCTTCGATCTGGATAGGAAATAATTTTGACGTATTATTTTTTACTAAAAGAACATACGCTTGGATATGTTTATGGTGCAAATTCGCAATCCAACTGGCTGCTGATAGTTGGTTTTAACTACATATTGGTGATGGACATAATTATCTCACCCACACTAACTTTTGAGAAGATGAGTTGTCAATAACTCAAAATCCAAATATGTTCACAATTCTAAAATGCTATATATTTCTTGTGAGCTAAGGCAAATTGGATAGCTGATAGCCTTGCTAATTGGAGCTGCAACATGGATTTGGGCTAGTGTTATTTTCATTTTGAGAACCCTCCTGAATCCTGATTGGGTTGGTCTGCTGGGTTATGGAAGATCTGTTAGGCCCGTTTTATTGCCGAGACAAATTGATTGTTGCTTTCTAGAAGTGAACTTTTTAATCCGTATTTGCTTCTAATCCCAAATGCTCTATGATTTGTTGAAGTAAATTTGTTTTTGTTAACTTGGCTTTGGTCTAAATATTCGTTCTAATCATCTTAATTTGATGTTAACTATTGACGGATAAATTTTATTTTGGTCTTAATATGTTAAATAATAGGTAATTAATATTTCTTCCCCTAATATTATGCAGCTTGCGGAAATAGCTCAGAACTTTGTTAAACATGTAAGTTGTGACTTATTCTTCTTTTTGGTCTCCTCTTTTGGTTATGTTTTGTTTTATCTCTCTTTTTAGGTGTGAAATTCTATTTTGTGCTGATAATACTTGGTATGATTAATTATTAACTTGATTTTATTTAAATGATGACTCACTTTCTGTGTTATGTGCTTGTTGATACATCCAAGTCAATGGACAAATTCAAACTTCTTGATACTGGCAGCTTGTAAGTTGAAATAGTAGGTCAATTTGCATTGCTTCTGCAACTGAATAATATGTTTAACTTCATATTTGTGCTATCTTGAACAGGTGGGTCAATTTGAAAGCCGTTAAAAGGCTTTTGGATACAGATGCAATAAAGATAGAAGACATCTCTGTTTCAAAGGTACTGTACCCAATAATCTGTAGAACTTCCCTACATTAACTAGTAATTACTAAAAATACTACTTTTTAACAGGGAACGGAGAGTGATCAAGTTCCTTTGCAAGAAACGGCAGCTGGTTCAGCAATACGGGTATTTTTTGTCCGATGATCAATACTTGTCATTTCTTTCAGTAGTTATTGTTTCAATGTTCTTATGTAATTTAAATTTTGTGTCTACCAGTTCTTTGATCGTGCTATTGGTGTCAATGTTCCCCATTCTCGATCCCTTTCAATCAATAAAACATCAGACCTACTCCTTTTAAAGGTGATGTTAACACTTCGCTAACCCATATGTTTAATATTAACAAGTGAAATAGTACTCTCTCTGGAGCTTCAAATTTATTGTTTTTGTTTTATCTCATTTATTTATTTTTACAGTCAGATATCTTCATCTGCGATGGAGGAGTTCTAGTTCGGAATATAGCTAGAACAAATCCCGAAGATCCTGTTATTGAATTAGGACCTGAATTCGAAAAGGTAAAGATTTGTTTAACTGCAATTTCCATGCCTTTATCTGTTGCCATTTGTCTTTAATAACTTTATTTATTTTATCTCCTTCAGGTCAGTGACCTCCTGAGCCGATTTAAGTCCATACCCGATATTATGGACCTGGATAGATTGAAGGTGACTGGTGACGTATGGTTTGGAGCTGGTATAACTCTCAAGGTATTGCTAATGTTCTCCTGGAATTTGTTTCAAATTTGTATGAACTTTGTGCCCAAACATATTATGAATTGTAACCTTTTAGCTTTGTGGAGTTTATTTTATTTTGTTTGTGATATTGGCGGTAAAACACCTCAGATTCTTACTACTGGAAAACAAATTGCTAGTTCTGGCTATCTATCATTATACGTAGGACTCAGGGTATTGATATCAAAGCAGAACACATGTACATGCTCGATTTCATTCATTCATTCATTTATCCATTCATATAAAAATTGATTTTCGTGAACAGCATATTGCCATCAATCCTTCCACTGTTTCTCTCTGTTATTTGTCGATCCAACACCAACACCAACTGTATCTCATTTCTTTTCTTATGGTTGATTTACTTCTCAAGGGGAAAGTAACTATTGTTGCAAAACCCGGGATGAAATTGGAAATTCCTGACGGAGTGGTAATAGAGAATAAGGTAGTCGCTTTTTTTTATTTATTCTTCGTTTATCGGGCCTCTGTGATTTTCCACTTTTATCTGCTAAACTATTCCGTTACACTGCCCAGGACATCAACGACCCTTCAGACATTTGACAAGGAGACGAGTTGCTCGGAGAATGTTGACGAAAATGAGTTAAACCTGCCGAACATCTTCCTCCGGAGTCCTTATAGGCAGCAGCATACTTTGACATTGCTACAGATTCCATCGAATATTCCATTATTTGTTTTGAGAAACAGAGAGAAATGCAGAGCGCAGTCGCAGTATTTATTTTGGCTGAGAATTAGAGAGGTCGCGTGACCAAATAAGCTTCGTGTTAAATTGTTTATTGGAAGAGGTGCGGCGAAAGGTTGTAGAATAGTTCCTTTTGGTTAGTTTACTGATTGATTTTCAGCTGTAATCTGATTTTAGCCGTAAAGTGCGGCGTAAGGAGCTTAGCCAAGTAGTTCTTGTTCCAAGTGTTCTTCTAGTATTGTTCATAATCTACGGGCCTATTTATTTTGGGTGTCATACATTGTAAACTTGCGAAGTAAGTGCAAGTTACCTTCGAATTCTAGGAGAATTTTTTAGCATGATTGTCACACCGTTACTTGTTGGACCCATATGGTTTACCATGGGCCGCACATTTTTCCTATTTACCTTTCCCACTGCCCTCTTGCTGTGTAATCCACCTACATTTTGCGTAGTCACCCTAATTAACAAAAGAATCTATTCTATACTCGTATCTGATTAGATGCATTCAAGAAAAAGGAAAATAAGATCCGTAGTTTCAGTTGAGAGACGTTTCAAAAAGGAGGATATTTTTGTAGTCCACATTGTATTTCAACATCTAACTATTTATCCTTTTTAGGCGTTCCTTCAAAGATCTATCTCTATCAATATTATTCAAAATTGGAGTTCATGTGACAAATTAAATAACGGTTATTTTAGTGTTTCTTCAAAGCATTGTATTCATCTATATCCTTAACTATAATTGAATGTTTAACTGATTTTAGATTTGTTTAATTTTTTTTTGTAGTGACTATACATTATCTATTCTAAAATTGAGGAGGGATTTGACTATAGCTTAGCTACAGTCAAAATTTTGTCACCAAATCTGTGGCTGGGTTGGTGTTTGGGCTGGCCCCTTTTTTTCATGGGCTTCATTGGTTTTCGGTAGAAGCCCGGCCATCAGTAAATTTAATGACAATTCTGCCCACCAAATCTTAAAATCCAACGGTGGGGATGATGGGTTAGGAAGGGCAATTTTGTCTTCTACGTTTTGAGCGAATTGGGATAGATTTGGCTTGGTTGTCATTCGATGAGGTTTCGAGGATGCAGGCTATGCTGCCTCTAAGATAGAGAGATATATGGGAGGATTTTTTGCGAGGGATTTCAAGGATTGCATAGAGAGAGAGAGATGGGACAAAGGGTGGGATTTCAGGGATTTGCAAATCATTCCCCTTCTCTCTCTTTTCATTTCTCTCAAATTCGAATTTCTCTTTCTCTCTCTTCATTTCTCTCAACCTCTAGCCCCAACGCCGCTCACCCCCATTCTTCTTCTTCATCTCTCATTTATTTCATCTTCTCTCAGAAAAAAAAAAAAAAAACCCTAGTCGCTTAATTTCTCTCAACCCTAGTCATCCCTCATCCAATTTCTCTCAACCATGGCCACCATTTTAGGCGTCGAGTTCACAAAATCTGGAGAGCTTTCTCTCTCGCCTGCAAACGAAGGTGGTCGAGTACGAGAGCCTGTGGTGGACTACCGCAAAAAAACCCTTCAAATCCACTCTGAGTCAGCTCATAACAGCTCAGAACGACTTACACGACGTCGACCGCCAGTGCCACCAACTCACCGGCTCCACGCATTCTTAAGTATTCAAGTTCTTTTTACTTTTCTGGGTTTTTCTTTTTAGTTATTTTTTTCCTTTTTTTTTCTGATGAGAATGCAGGTTTTGGATTTAGCATTTGATTTTCTCTGATGGGATTTTGAATTTATTGTGTGGAAATTGGGTTTCATCTGAAAAATCTGAATGTTTACTGCTTTTTGTTTTTTTTTTTTAATTTTTTTATGAGAATGCAGGTTTTGGATTTAGTACGATATGATACTTACGAATTGTAGCAAGATAATAAGATGTGACTACTCATTTCTACGTGAAGATTGTGATTGGTGATGCAATCCGTTGACTACCCGTACTACTACCTTCACCAATCCCTTACTAAAAGATGGCTCAAACCTCACACTCACCTGGAACTCTTCCAGGTAAGTCTGGTAAGCTTGTGAAAAGGTGTTCCTAACATTCCTGTTAGAATCGATATGAACTGGGCGCACATTTCCGCCAAATTGATCGATCATGAATTCCTCACTAATTGAGCGAGAAACCATGTCGAGAAGGCTATAAGAATACTCAAGAATTTGAGGGTCAAAACAAGTCTAAGGATAATTCGTATTTCATAACTCCTGTGAGGAATTTCAATTTCCAATGGTCACAACCCCTTTTTGGAAATTAATGAGAATATCGTTTGCAATTGAAGATTCTTCTAAGGAAGTATTAAATCTAAACGAAACCAACGCTCGATGAATTTCGGGTGAAACTAACAGTCGATGGTTAGGGAACTTGACTTCGTCTTTGGAGTAAGCAAGAGGGTAATCGATAGAACAATCGCTGAGAATTGTTCTAAAGATCCACACGAATTTCCTCAACATGAACAAGTTCGAGAACATTGATTCGATCCCACCAATTACCACTTACTAAACTTCGTAACAACCAGCGTTTACTTGCTTTCTCCAGCATGCACTTCGAAAGTTTAAAGTAGTTTCCAAAGAGATATGACTCTGCCCGCCATTCTTGGGGAATGCATGTCGCAGAGTACAACATTGCTTCAAATCTCCAGTTGGTCTTAACCAACTCGTACCACTAAGATTTTTCTGTTTCCCAACATTCCGATATAGATCCGACTCTATTCGCAATTCCTAGGGAATGTTGCAGAGCATTAGTTTGATGTTGAAAGTCGTCCCATAATCCATTACGTTATCGGTGAGGCACAATCCCGACACGAGATTTCTTTTTCTTCAATAGGATGTGACTATTCACAACGTGATGAGGGTTGCACAACCGTGCCGAATGACAACCAATCCGGAAGTTGTGCATCCAAATGATGTCAATACCGACACACTACTAGAGTAAGAGAAGATCCTACGTATGCTCTGAACAAACCACGCTCTGATACCAAACTAACACGACCGACCCTGATATTCCCCGAACACCAGTGTAGGCACGTGCTGGCCGACACCCGAAGGTGATGAAGCCATATTAGGATCCATGAGAACACAAATATAAATAAGACTTATAAATTTAAATTACAATGAGCATGCAAATGAGGAATGTGTTCAGAGTATACAACTAATTCTATACACTATAAAAGAAATGATATACAATTGAATGAACAAAGGAGTGGGTCCTACACCGAAAAGACTCAAAGATGCCAATGTCGAAGTGCCTTGACGCGGGGATTGTATGCCTCGATTCTAAAACCTGAGGGGGCGCAAAACAAACATAAGTGGACCAAGTTGATATATATATATATATATATATATATATATATATACATACATACATACATATATATATAAAATACCGAAACAGTTATCAATATACTAACCTCCAAAGTTTAACGAAAACTCATAGCATAATATGTAATAGGTTTTTGAAACCCTAGCATGCCATAAAATCTTTCATGAAACATATCTCGTATATAATGTGCTAACCAATGGTATCAGTATAGCCCGAAGGCCTATAGAACTCTTCCTTCAGAACACTTCATTTGCCAAACTGGCACCAACCTACTCCCGGCCGAAGCCAATATAAATATCATTTGCCAAACAAGCACCAATCTACGCCTGACCGAAGCCAATATATGTATCATCGCCCTTAGGCAGAACAATGACCACTAGCTACGCACAAAAACATTGAATATAGTCTTTCCAAACATAGGTACATATATCTCAAAACATCTTCATAGCATATAGTCATCCATCATATATACTACATAGAAGTGTGTAAAAACATGTTAATAAATAGTATATAGTCATCCATCATATATACTACAAAGAACATCAGTTCAATAAAATACGGTATTCCAAAATATTCTCAATAAGCATAATGTCTCATAAAACATAACCATTAAATCATGTTTTTCATGTATGCATTTCTACTATTAAAACATACATTTTAGAAGGGGTTCACTCACAGATATTTCATCGTCGTAGAGCCGTACGAACTAGGCGGAACGGAAACGCCCGCTAATAATTGCACCTAATCACATAAAGGGTCCAATAACTATACTCAAACGATTGAATTTTGGAAAACGGAAGTCATAAACGGATCCAAAACGTCGAATTACCCTAAGAAGGGTCCTAGTTAAATTTCGTAAAAGTCAACAAGAGAATATTCCAAAGAATATTCCTCGAAATATTCCAAAGAATATTCCTCGAAATATTCCACCGGGTTGGCCTTAGGGTTAGGTTTAGGTGGATTGGGCTTAGGATAATGGGTTAAGGGTTTCTAATTTAAAACGGGTTTTAGGGCTGGGTTATATTAGGTTTGGGCTTGAAAACCCTACCCAAGTGCTTGGGCTGAGTCCTGATTTGGGTTAGGTTAAAAGGGTTTTGGGTTTGCCAATTGGGCCTATTCCATGGCCCAATGCCCGAGTTAGGGTTTTACAAATATGGGTTTAGGTTTAGATAGGGTCGAAAGCCTTGGGTTTAGTTCTGGGCTAGCCCAAGGGTCTTTGGGCTTAACATGTTATGGAGTTGGGCTGCCCAAAAAGGGCTGGGTTCCATGGCCATGGGTCGGCTGGTCTCGCCAAAGAAGAAAGTCGGAGCCTCCAAGCTCCGGACAACCCATAACTCAACTAAACTCATCAACCCATATACCAAAATGAAGCTACGAAGGAGGGGAAGAATAATATACCTATCACGGGGCCAATCGTGGCCAAAAAAAGGCTTGCAGCACACAGTTCAATCGCTGAAAAATGGGGAGAGTTTCCCCCGACCTGTTCTGCGTCCAACTAATGTACACAACATCAAACCTACCCTAAACTTTAAAACACACCCCACAAGGTTTTAGAGTCTTACCCTTGGTCATAGACGGCGGAACACTTCAGGGAAGGTTGCACGGTGACTGGAAAGAGAGGAGCTTGGGGGGAGGGGCTCCTCCATCGGTCCTGGATTCGTGGGACTTGCAGAGGATGTGGGGAAGGGTGAGCTGATAGTGGTGCAGAGAATGGGGCTCAAGGAGCTTAAGGGAGAAGGAAAAAAAAGTGGAGAGGGGAGAGTGAGGTCCGAGAAAGAGTTTTGGGAGAGAGAGAGAGAAAAGAGAACCGGGAGAGAGATGAGAGAAGAAGAGGGAAACATAGAGGATTGCCACATGGCAGCCATAGGGAAAAGGAGACCGGGGAACCAAAAAGAGAAAGTGGTCCCACCCGGCTCACCATTTAAGGTCCCAAAAGCAATTCCAAAATAAAAAATATCCCTTTTTTTGTGAAATTACATAAATGCCTTCCCGATTCAAAATCTGTTTAATTAATCGAGACGGGTTGTCACATTGTTCAACCCAAAATCTGGGATTGTTGTTTTTATGGTTTTAAAAGATGAAGATTAGAAGAATTTAAGTGCTTTAGTTGAAGAAGGAAATTGTACATATTCATGTATGACCCATATTGCTTCCTCTCTCTTTCACCTATTTGATCCGTTGGGAGTTTGATCTCCACCATCACTAATATCCATATATGCTGCCATTGTACACACAGACACACACTCACATATATAGTTTCTTATTCTTCTTAATTAATAGTTATTTGAAGTAATAATATTGGTATGTGTGTGTGTGTGTGTGTGTGTGTGTGTGGAACTTAGAACCTAGAGTGAGAGTGAGCAACTGTTGTGAAATGGCCTAACCCAAAATTCATTCGCAAATCAAGTTTATAGAAAATCATGGCAGACTGTCCTTATTGCCTTCCCCTGCCTCTCTTCTCTAAAGAAGAAACGAGTGTTAGACTAAAAGCTAAGCATTTCAATGCTTTTCTAATTGTATCCTAATATAACCAATACTACTACTTATTTTTAGCCCTTTCAGTTGTCATTGAATGGCATAGCATTTCGCGATTTATCTCCGAATCTTACCAGTATCTTAGGTGTTTGGATTTCTCAGAAACCCCTTATGTGATGAACCATATGAAAAACATTGGTTTAAATCAATTAACTGTGAAATAAACTTATCTAATATTGACTCTTATCAATTGGTATTTTCTATAGGTGGCATGATGGGACAGTCCCATCAAAGTTCCATCATGTTTGAAGTGGGCTCCTCCTAGAGACATGTTCGTTTTATGATATTCAAGGTGTATTTTCTGATGCAATTGCTATAGCCTATACACATTAACCACAAAATTTATTTTAAAATCTTTATTATTGGTTTTTGCATTATTTGTTGGGAAATATCCATTCCCTTATGTGCTTATAATTTTTTATGCAAGGAAAACAAGCAAGTTGGGAAATATTTGTGTTCCTTAAAAAATTATGATTACTAATTTATTTCCTTTATTTCAATGCGAATGCCGCTACATAAAATCTACTTAACTAATGGACAGGACCTAGTGTTTGGCTGCGGTGAAGTTTTGGTTGGTAAGGTCCTCCTACGACTCATGTGAATCAGTTGCACAATGATTTTATTGTTCGAATTTCATCTTTTGCTTGAGTGCTTGAGTGCTTCAATGTTTGAATTAGATATTTCAAATTGTATGTGAATTGTAGTCCATTAGGGAAAATTTTATTAAAATGTAATGGATGCCTTTTGGGTAATAATGCATATCAAGACCTTTGAATCTGTTGATTCAGATGTTTGAACACGGTTGAAACTCACTATGTTGTTTTTGCAGTTTGATTATGAATTGTTAATTAGAGTTGGCTAATTTTGTTACTAAGAGTTTAGGGCCAATTAACAAATCTATTGAGTGATTTGTAAGGGTCTAGAAGCCAACCTTTTGGAGAAGTTGAAGTTATTTGAAGTAAACTGATAAAATTTGACTATCATGGCCAACATGTTTTTTTGACTATTGACAACTTCTCAACCATATTTACTAATTGCAAGAATTGGTTGCATTTGAAACCTGCAGCATCAGGTGGACAATTTTTGCTAGTTCTAAATTAAAATTATGGACGGTTTGGATAATTGACAAAAGTTGTAGAGTGAGCTACACAAGTGCCAACTTACACAAATGATTCATGGCCGCCGAGACATTCAAATCAAGTATATAATGTGTGATGAACCCATCTTATGTTAAGTTGCTCTCCATATTAACAAAAGATTGGAGCTATATCGATCCACTGTCTTATCTCCCCACCCACCTTATATTTTCACCCATCATAAAAAAGTGAAAAAAATTGATAAACTCTTTCCCCACCTACCGTTATTCTCAAATAGTTCTTCAATTTTTCCTTAATATAAAAAAATTATTATTATTTAAGGAAAATAACAATTATCATTAAACAAATTACTCAGCAACTCCAAATATAACCAAGAGAAGAGAGATATTTTTACCTATTTTTAGTAAACTTTGTAGAAGTAGAATATGATTGAAGTGTACAAGTAATCCTTTAAAGGGCTGCGGATAAATAGGTCAATCAAACCATAAACGAAGAATAATAAGATAATTATCCTTAAAAAAAATAGCAGAATTCATTCGGCCATTCCAAGAGCACTTTCTCATATCCTCATGAGTCGGACAATATTATGTTATTTCCGATGATTGTTTTAGTTTTATTTATGTTAATCGTTAGAGTCATAGGAATCCATTTCTTCAATCAAGAAGGAATAGATTTGGATATATTATCCAAGTACATTGCCCCCTGAGTGAACAAGAGAACGACTTTGTATAGAAACCCTCAACCCGTGTTCGTTGCTCTACTCGGCTCACAATTATTTCATTATATTTTTGAATTCAAGCTCAAAAGAATATATGTATGGAGCTATGTCAACTTGTGTACGTCTTGTTCACCAAAACAATTTCTAGAACTGTCACTACTAACACCCCCAAATTCTCAGCCAACCACACCACCACCCAGCGTTCGTCTTCAGTCGCCTAAAACAGCTCTGTATCCAATCTCTATCGTTTCCCAATTTGAATTCATACCACATAGGAGAGAGTGATTAAATTTGATAAGTAAATAAAGTTCATTGATTGCTAATTAGTACTACGATCTAGTAGTATTCCTCTTTACTTGTAATTGAAAGGTCTTTTTGAAGAAACGATATTATCTACACTAAGGGGAGGGGGTAGGCTTAGCCTCATAATGAGTTAGCAATAATGTGGTTCAAATTCGCTTTTGACGAGAATCGAATATAAAACCTCTCACTTATCATTGAAGAGGAATACATACCACTAGAACGTAGTAGTAAGTAAAAAAAAAAACAAGTTCAGTGATTGAATAGGATAGCCCCACTGTAGTTTGGGTGGTCCCACATAGATTGCAAATTGCGAGAAATTTTTAATTGTGACGGGAATATAAATGATACATCACGTGTTTTAATAAAAATGGTGAGAAATTTCATTTTTTAAGTTATTAACTTTTTAACACACATATTCCATTATTTATACAATAACACATGATGTACCACCTCGTGTATCGATCACATTGAAAAATCTTTAGCAAATTGCAATCGTTTCCCAAAACCCAATTGGAAAGGATAAGAAACAAGGCCACCGGCTTTCCAGTTCTCTTTCTCACTCAACCCAAAAAACCAGACAGCCATCATGTCAATCCTTTCCATTTCATCACCTTCTTCTTCCTCCGCTCTCCTCCCCAATGTCTCCTTCTCCTCCAAATCCTCCTCATTCCTCACCCCGCCGCTCCAAATCGCCACCCCATCGCTCGCCGTCGCAAAAAACCACAAAAACCGACTGACGGGAATAACCATGAGCATGGAGGCCGGCATTGGAGTTATGGCCACGAAGCTCGGCATGATGAGCTTCTTCGAGCCCACCGGCAAAGTCGTCCCGGTCACGGTCGTGGGTTTCAAAGAGGGCAACATCGTCACCCAGGTCAAAACCCAGGCCACCGACGGCTACGACGCCGTCCAAATCGGGTACCGGCGGGTCCGTGACCGGAAGCGAAGCCCGAAATGGGTCACCTCCAGAAGGCCGGCTCGATCCCCCTCCGCCACCTCCAGGAGTTCCGGCTTCAAAACGTCCAAGGGTTCGAGCCGAACCAGAAGCTCTCGTTCGATGAGCTTTTCAACGAGGGCGACATTGTCGACGTCTCTGGAACCACAATCGGAAAGGGGTTTCAGGGAGGAATCAAGCGGCACAATTTCAAGCGGGGGCAGATGACCCACGGGTCCAAGAGCCACAGAGCTCTCGGGTCTATCGGTGCCGGAACCACGCCGGGGCGGGTTTACAAGGGGAAGAAGATGCCCGGGAGAATGGGAGGAACCAAGACCAAGATTAGGAAGCTGAAGATTGTGAAGATCGATAAGGAGCTCAATGTTGTGATGATCAAAGGCGCTCTGCCTGGTAAGCCCGGAAACCTTCTCCGCATTGCTCCTGCTAAAATTGTGGGGAAGAACATTCCCAAGAGTTAGTTTGATTCCCTTTTTTGTTTAAGTTGTTTCGGTTTTGTGAATTTTTGTATCGACATTGACTCGTATGAATGTTAACTAGTGTTTTGTGAATTTATGGAAGCAGTTCACTTGATAGGAGCAAGAATAACTGGTTTTGGTTGACTTGAATGTTAGATAGTGGAAATACGATGCTAGTCTTTTGTGAAACTATGTTTGAGTTCATTAACGCTGTTCGCGGAATTTGTGATAGAAAGTAACAATTTTTGTCTTTTGGATGAATTGGGTACTCTTCGATAAACTAGGAAATCGACTAAAGAGGTGTTGTCTGTTTTTGTTTTGTTTTGTATCATTTGTGTCAATGATATGGCTACAATGCTACAATCATATTATTTGACATGTTTGTTTAGAGCTTATTGCAATAACTTCTTTGCTGTCCATATTGAACTGTTAATTCTTCCCATGTTCGTTTCTGGTCGTTGTCATCCGTAACTTGTTAGTTCTGGTTTGTACTCAATTAGTGCGAATGGAAGTTTGTTTCTACTTTCTTGTGAACAAAAGGCATTCATTTATTATTGGTTGCATTGGTGATATATTCACCCAATTTGGAATGACTTAATCTAAATCATTTGGGGTTGAGGAAGGCTACTCTGTTGGGTGAGTTGGGTGAAGAGAGGTTAATCTGAACTGGTACAACGAATAGCAAGATTTCGAATCTGTGTAGACTTCTTGGAAACTTGTTATTTGGTTCATAGGTAGTTTCTTGGATAAGACAGCCGTGAAATGATAACCTGCAAAGGTCCCGATAAAATCATGGAACTGAGATAGTCCCCTGAGGTAAAGCCATATGGGTTACAGCTACATATTCTGGTGGATGTGGATGGGTGGTGTGTCCTAATCCTTATCCCTATCTTCACTTTTACTCCCTCATCATCACCTTATTTAGTCCTAGGGCAAGGGGCTTTCGTGGGTACATATTTTGGAATTGTTCCTCCCGAGCGACAAAAAGCACGCCAGTGAGAGCCTTTTTTGTTCACGTTACGATTAAATGCATTGGAAGTGTGGATGAGAAATACGTGGGGTGGTGAGCGGTTAGATTCACTCCTGCATACAGTTAGTTGCTCACGCTTTGTCATTTGAGCAAAACCGACAATTTGGGAAGAGATAAAAGGTGTTCTATGTATGACGTGAAATGTAAGATTTTAGTCTAAAACTGTATGCTGTTAGGCCAGAAAGGAAACAAAACACGAAAAACTGCAACATATCCAACATCACACAAAGCTCATCCCATCTGGTGAGGAGAAGAGATGTTTATCAGTACATCTCCATAGTCTAAACAAAACATGTTTAGCATTTTATTTTAGATAAACGAACTGATTGTTTTGGAGGACTTCAACAGAGTACGCAGAAGTTGCATCTTCCTAACGGAGGCGCCTGCAGAGGGTGAGTCCATCCCCAACGGAAAGGTGAGCCAATTCGATACAAGAATCAGCAGCTAGAAAGCTGTTCAACTCCAAGATATGTTTTCTGTTTGGTCTAGCTTTTTCATCTAGTTTCTCCTTCGGCTCCACCACTGAGCCGAACCATAACGTGTTATCGTACGAGATCATTCCACCAACCTTAACAAGCTTTAACAGTAGCTCATGATATTCCATGTACTTATCCTTGTTAGCATCCACAAATGCAAAATCAAAGTTCCCTTCTTCCTCCCCCTGCATATTTGTTTAAAATTTCAATTCTCTAAGCTAAGGCCATCTCCAACCGAAGGGTCTAGAGGGCCAGAGGGCCGAAAATAGCATGAAAACCGTCTCCAACCGAGGGTTAGGCCAGAGGGCTTTGGAATCTGGGAGGGCCCCACAAAATCGGGGAGGGCTGGCCACTTCCAGCCAGCCAGCCCTGGGCTGGCCAATTTTTTTTTTTTTGAAGTGTTGGATTTCTTGTCGGTTAAAACCGACAGGAATAGTATAGAATATAATGAATTAAAGCTAATGACTACTAGGATATTTATTAATTAGTATAGGATATCCCCGATAAGCTACAAATATGTACATATACATGAGTCAAAATAAACACACAAGAGGGAGCCTTCACAAAGGTTGCTTAGGAGAAGTCTCAGCAGTCGGTAGAGCCCCAGAAAGAGAAGGCACCGGAGGGGGATCATTTGGAGCCTCAGTACTGGACAGAACCCTAGAAGGAGGAGGCATCAGAGGTTGATCATTTGGAGCTTCATTACGCGGTACAGCCCCAGAAGACGAAGGCAATAAATGCCTTTGGAACAAACCCACAAATCTCTGATGATCAAGTA